AACTTAGTCTTTGTAGACTGATTTTTGCACACCTGTGCTCAGCTGTTTGCACACAGCATACCCTATCCTTAAAAGCCTTTCGATGGTAAAAAGAAAAGGAACGTTCAGGGAGAGGAGCAAAGGAGTGATCCCTCTTTCAGGACAGACAGGTGGGGTGTGTGTGTGTGTGTTTACAAATTCACCAACCTTCACTTTCGTTTTACAGTAACAAATATGCAGGAAGTCTTTAAATGAAAGTGACCATGAAAAAGTAAATAAGGCTGAGATGCATCAAAAAAGGATGGGAAATAAATAAAGGTCATCTGTGGATTTGGCATAAAGATTTATCTGTGTTTTATTTTATGCTCTTATCATTTTTTTATTGTCTAAGTGTATTGATTTGCAATTAAAAATAATATATAAAAATAAAAGACTTATTCATACAGACACCCCAGCCTTAATAAACACATACACTACTAAAACATATAAATGATACTTTAATTCTAATTCTGTAGGAACCCTTTTAAATATAATTAAATTATAACTGCAGCACAGCATCTCAGATTGGGTCTAAAAGCAAGCTCCAGTTCTTAACATGAAAACTTTGCATGGCTATTGTAGCTTTTTATACAGCAGGAAGTTTACAGTCCTGCATAAACTGTAAGGGAAAGAAACTGGTAATAAAATAACACATTTATTTGTAAAGCCATATTTACATATTACTGGTTACTGTATTATTTAACAAAATAAAGTTTAAAAAGTTAGTTAGTTAGTGGTTACTCCTAACTAAAACACTTCTTCTTAAAACCAACATTTTTAGCTGATTAACAAGCTGGTCTGACAAAACAACCAATGGATACAGATTTCACCCAGATTTGAACTTTCCCACTTTTTTATGTTAGTTTAATTATTAGATTCTTTTGGCCTTTTCTTTTTGTAGTTGAGCTGATCATGATAAAAAATTACATCCTTTGTAGTTGTTGGGTTTTTATTTTTTGGCAGGGTAAACAAATTATTAAACTAAATTATATTTAGCAATATTTATAAAAAGTTTTTTTTCTTTGCTGCAATTTAGTTCAAATGGTGCTTATTGCTTTCGATTGATCATTTATTCTAAAAATGTTCATCTGCTTCTATTTTGTTAACTGTTTATCCAGTTTAGGGTTGGAGGAGCATTAGAGCGTTTCCCAGCTCACACAGCTTTTAGCTATCCTAAACTAAAAATCAAAGCCCTTAAATCCAGGATGCAATTACAGTGTCACTTGTTTTTACGTCATTACATTCAGTTTTTCTAAGTTGGTTCAGGAGGAAGTTAATGTCATTGTCACGATCATTAGACCTTCTGAATTCCAGCACGTCCAAAACGTTGCTCTGAGCTCTTCCCACAGTCTACAGGGATAAATTAAAATAACATTAATAAATAAGACTGTGTGTGTAAAGACAACAAGTAAGTGCATACAGTTCACCTGTATGCATGCACTTTGGGGACGATCAATCAATCGGATACAGCGAAACGTTAAAGTTAAAACCCACATGCGTAAAATAAAGTAAATTCTAAAAACTGCAGTGGCGGATACATGACCAGTTAGTTCTTCTGTTAAGTAACAACTGTTTCCCGAGTTGAGCAGTGCCTTTTGAAAAAGTGTGACAGCACCTTAATGCCAAACATTTATGTCACGTGCAAAATCTCACTTTGTGCAACATGTCAGAAGATAAAAAGTTTCCAGGGTTAACTTTTCAGATGAGTGTACTATGAAGCAAGATTAGTGGGTATCTGTGGTATGCCGAGCTGAAAGCCAAAGTTTTGTGCGCTAATTGAACCTAGCTAGATCACCACAGTCGTTTCAGAATCACCACGTTTAGAGCGTGCTCTAAGAGCGATAAAGATTTTCTGCAGAAGGAATGTGTTTTATGGTAAATGGCCTGCATTTATACATGTAACCTGTTGATCCATACCTTTAGGAAGCAGACTCGTTGGGAACATGTGAACATGCGAAAGGCCCCCTCCTGCCAACCTTTCCCAAGTTTGTTTTATACTCTGCGAACTGCAGCTAATTGTGTTTTTAGCCTATGAGTAAAATCGTGTTCACTTTGATCTGGTGACGAATTAAACTTATTTCTACATCTCGTGCATTAGGTCACGTGACCCACCTGAATGTACTGAGTAGCCTATAATATGTTTTATAGTTTCACACTTTGCACCTTTTGTAGTCATCAAGTTAGAAACACACAGCAGCTTCTGATAGCGTACCATAATTAAAAAAAAAAACAAAACCCATGCCCTCTTTATTTGTTGCATTTTTGTTTAATTTCTTATATCCTGTATGTATCTTAATCACCCATCCCTCTGTCAGAAGTAGGCGACATTCAGTCTCTAAATTTTGTTTGTAGGAATAGTCGAGGGATACATCAAAAGCCCCCTTCTTACATGAGCGTGCACAGAGCCTAAAACAAGAATGGGTTAACAAAGAGAGCTAGTTACCCACCCTCCCCAGCTAATGTAGATGAAGCCTAGCTATACTGGACTTGCTACATAGCAAGTTCTATCTCTCAGAGTGTTTTGATTCTAGCCCAGCTCATAGCCTTTAACTAGTCTTTACTTATCGGACCAACTCTGCAGTGATAGGTGGAAAACACAGTGCCCAGCATTTGGTTAACAATTACACTGAAGCTGGTAACACTTTTATGGCGATTTTCAGTAACTTTGTCTACGTTACTTACAAAAGGCCACTTCTATAAAGTGAAAGGCTCAGCTGATAACCCATGACTTCTACTCATTCCATTATCCTACTTAATCCTTCCTGATTTTTTTTAATAGTATACAGTTTAACTCTATGTCTCATAATGGCTTATTTGTGCCCGTCTCTATTGTATGTGACAATTCTAGATCACAGTGAAGATAGGCCCCTGCGTAGTGACAGTCTAGCCTTGTGTCGGTACAAAGCTCTCCGTTTCTACATGAACTCTGTGAACTGCTCTGTTTCCTGCTTATATCAGTTTGCTCATCTGCTGCTCCTCGGCGAGCCGGCCTTTAACTCCGAACTGAGCTGGGGTGTATCACTGCCCCCCTCGGCTGTCCTTAAACGGTTTCAGCCATCGAGAACCAGATGAAAAATACAGCTGTAAGAAAGGGACACAGGCCTGACCAAGATCACACTCAACTCTTTCATGTATAACTAGTCACTAATATTAGGAGCAGATCATTAGTTTGTCGGTCCTTCTGTATCCCGCCTTGTAAACGCTACATTTCGTGAACACTTTTCAGGCGATTTCTTGAAACCAAACTCGGTTAAACTGATTACATTATAGTGATCAGGGTCACAGTGAGATCACAGGAAATGATGACATTATAAACAAATGCTTAATCCAATAAAATAATTATGGCATTTTATATTTAAAAGGTCAAAGGTAAACTTCACTGTGACATCAGAATGTCCTGCAAAAGCTGACTAAATGCGACAGCAGTAAGTGTTAGTCACATTTGACCAACTTTAACTGCTTTCCCTTTATTATCGTAGGGTCTTCACCTTACAGTATAAAGCGCCTTGAGGCAGCGGTTGTTATGATTTTCCGGTATATAAATATAACTGAACTGAATTGAAGTGAACATTTGTGTGACGAATAGAACGTGTATACGCTACATGTGGTTGCAAACAATTATGTGTTAAGGCTAGCTTAACACATATTTTGGGCTGTTTGCTCAACTTTTGGAGGTCAACACAGCACATGTTGCTTCCTGTGTGAAAGGCCCTGTAAGTTAATGATATCCAACATCTGTAATGCATAATGCGTGGCTCAAATGGCCCCCAAAAATCCAAAAACATGCGCCGTTGAGAGAGAGAAAGTGAGAAACATACATACCAGGAGTTTATCACATCTGACATACAACACTGGGTGATTTAGCCAATTGTAACTGGGTAACATAAGTTGACAGATGTAAGCTGAATTGCTAAAACGGTATGAAGTCTTAACTTTTACTGCCTCTACTTTGTTTAAAATGTCTAACCTGTCTGTCCGGCGCCCTTCATGGTCCCCTCGCCTCACAGTGAACAAAAATGGGGAAAAGTTGGAGATAAGCGTCTCTGCAAATTAGATCACGTTGCAGTTATTTAAAAATCAGAACATCAGAAATATTTTGTCTCATTTGATAATAATGACGTCTGGCTGTAGTTTCTCCACACACCCGCCGAAATCTGGGCGTGCACTTCTCCAACCACGCCCGTGCATTCCCAGAAACTTTGTGGATATGTGACGCATGACTATAGAGAGGGAGATTTGATTTACTGTAAATCGTAATTGAAATTAATTAATGCAACTTCAGGTGTTGGTGGAGGTTAACGACCATAAGGTGGTAATTCTTGTTTTTACAATCAGTTACCCTGTTTCCAGTCGCAGAAAGCTGCAGATCTCAGATATGTTGCTGATCCAAACAAGCTTTTGTCTTTTCAGGAGTTTTATGACCACGCAAAGATCCTCTGGCAAGACGAAGGTGTGCGGGCATGCTGGGAAAGGTCCAACGAATATCAACTCATCGACTGCGCACAATAGTGAGTCGTTGCTTTTCTTATACTATTTTCACCTCTGTACGTACACTAGCAGTTAAATACGGGCACATTTCTAAGAACTTCCTTCTTCGGGTTTTGACACTCAAAGGTGAGACATATGAACCATTTAATGAGTGCTCAGGGGGGGGTTTGGGTTCTTTCCCCTGTGGTTTATGTGAGCTCAATGTGTGAAGATAAATGGTGATAATGAATGCAGTGCTACTTTGTCAAGTGTATTTATTTTGGCTAGTTTATTTTAGTAGTTTGTAGATCATTTCTTTAGGCTGGAAATAATGATGTGTTGTCTCTTTTTTCTTTTCTTTTTTTTTTTAAAAGGATTTGTGGACTTTATTAAGGTGTTGGTATTTTGTTAGTTGGTCCACCACGTTAGTATTGACTGAAATATTTGAGCTACCATTAAATTGGTTAATATGAAACCTCCGATTCACATTAGTTGTCCCCAGTGGATATTTCCCTTGTGGGGACACCAGGAGATTCCCTTTGTAGTTTGGACTAAAACCTTTCTATAAAGGTTAAAGCCACTTTCAGTATGAAATGTTGCAGGCAGTTTATACTTGCAGTCGTGGCTTGTGTATGCCAAAAATGACATCACAGGTGCTGGTGTGCAGTGTCCTTTGGTGACGTTTTGGTTTGCCATGCACCTTCTAGCTTTTGTAAGCTGAAGCCTGCGATGATATCAATGATATGTTCTGCAAAAAAAAAAAACAACTGCTGAAAACGTAGCAATCGCTTTGTTTGCATACTATTTTGACCATTTAAATTTTCTTCTCGGTTTTGACACTTACCCATGGACGTGTTCACATAGCTTATTTATTAAAACATGGATTTTTCACATGGTAAAGAGTGCTGTTGAGAGCATGCCAGAGCAACAGGTAGCAATAGACCCTACCACATAGAAAACTTTATAGAAATATTGAATCTTACAGACAATAACTTTGTGCACGTGAAAAACTGAAAATGAAGGCACGCGCCGCATGTGGGCAAAGGCTTGATATTCAAGTGTTTATCATTGAAAAGTACACTGCTACTTCTTGTGCCCACATTTATGACTATGGTGCTGTGTTGGCGTCACAGTTCCCTCAAGCAGCCACTAATGTGTCAGGCCAAACTGTGGCATAATTAGTAAAAATGTGTTTGTTGCATTGGTTCAACTATTGTTCCTATTTTGTGCTAATTAGCAAATATTAGCTTAAATGTTAAGCTAAGGTAGTAAAAACGGTAAATGTTAGTGTCATAGCATCAGCATTTAGCTTAGAGCACCTCAATGCCTCCGTAAAGCCTCAAAGAGCTGCTAGCACGGGTGTAAAGAAGCATCACAGATGGCCGGTGTTGGTCGCACCAATTAATTGCGATTTTGGTCATTTTCTGACTAAAATTTGTGCTCACCCAATATAAAGTTTCCATGGTGCTTGGTTACAGATGTTCCTGCTGTGAATTGGACTGTTGAAAGGTTTTGTTTCCATGAGCTGGCAATTGGTTTTTTCTGTCAGGTGGATTTCTGGTTAGTCTTTGCTAAACAAAGTGCAGACCTTTTGGATGGTGATAGTGTGTGTGTGTTTTCACTGATGGGGAATTGGTTAATCTTCCTGGAACAGCTTTTTGTGTTTTCTGCATTGAAATTTGGAACAAATTTAGAGGAACGTTAGCTTCAACTTCCCCAACCCATGCCGCCTGACTCTCCCTCTGCTGTTCCAAGCATGTTATCTTTCCCTTTGGTCTTTGGTCAGTCTGGCTTCATTATAAGACGCAAAACGATCACATGCGTCAGAGTATGGGACGTGTGCTGACTGTTTCATTTGTCGTTGTGTGTTTAAAGCAAGTATCAAATATAAAAGCTCTCATAGCATTATATTCGTCATTTATTGCATGTTCATAGCATGAAATAAATGACTAGATATAACGGTGATGCTTGAATTCAAATGGCATATTTTACTGTAGCAGCTGGTTAAGGGGGAACTATTTTTAAACTGCTTCACATATATTTAGTTATCGAGTTTCTAACCTTTGGGTTTAGATCAAAAGAGGAAGGAGTGAAGCAAAAAGTAAAGTTGTTCTGCACAAATTCATGTTCAAATTGTAAGACTTTTGATATGTTACAAATAGTTAAATCAACTATTTGATGAAACGCTTAATGAATGACTTTGTCTCCCAGGATTTACTGTTAATCTGCAGGGACTACATGCCACCAGGTCCACCTTCAGCTCTGTGTGGCATGTTTTACATAAAATCTCACTGTAGTAACTCAAGCAATCAAATGAATGAGGAGTGAATTCCGTATACATTTCCAAAAAGTAGAATTAGAAGTCCTACTGCATGTGAAGTTGTACTTATTTTTGATGAGTGTACTCGGTTACTTTACACCGCTGTCTTTGTGAGCGTATGTTGTCATTGGGGGGTGTGTATGCATGTCATTTCCATGTTGCAAATGCGACCACGGTTGTTTGTCGCAGTCACAGTTGCGTGTGTGTGGCACTCTTATGTTTTGTGGGAGGCGGGTGGGCTGACAGCACAGGCTGTCAGTGAGATGATCATGAAAAACCATCACTGCGAGAAGTGTGATTGAACACATGCGGCGTTTCACGCATCTGAGGAGAGACAGCGATTGAAAATGACAAAAGATCGAAAAGAGAGATTGAAATTGAATGAGGGTTTTCCTCTGTTGCAGGAACCCTCTTCTCCTCTCCTCTGTCCTCTCCTCTCCTCTCCTCTCCTCTGTCCTCTCTTCTCCTCTCCTCTGTCCTCTCTTCTCCTCTCCTCTCCTCTTCTCCACACCCAGCAGCCCCAGTGTTATGATGGATCAGATGTTGGGCTGGGTGGCCAGACCGGAAGTGCTCCCCTCCCCCCTCTGTGTGCTTATGTAAACGGAGAAGCAGAGAAAGAGAGAGGGGAGAGCTATTTTTAACCCAGGCAGGCTGCAGAAGGAGAAAGAATGAGCGACTGTGTTAGAAGAGAGAGACAACTTCAGCATTATTGATGAAGGTTGTTAGCATTAAATGAAAATGTCAACCCTGGATCAGCGCAGGAAAAGTGAGGCCCACCACGTACACCTCCTGCCTCTCTCTTTGCAAAGATCACCTGACTCGTGTCATGATTGGGGGGGGGGGATAAAATCAGAAAAAAAAGGGAAGAAGAAGTTGACATGGCACTGATGCTTTGTCTCTGTGTGATTAGAAGGAAGTCACTGAAGCTTCACCGGTTCTCTTTTTGCTCCGTCATGCTCTGCCGTGATGCGTCGTTATTGTTGCTGTTTTTCCCCGACGTATTGAGGATGCGCTCTAACTGTAAGATGTTCACATGCAAAGTCCGCTCAGTGCCTCGTTGCCCCCTCTGCCCAACAGGGCTGAGGCGAAGGGTTCGTTTTGTGTCAGATGACGAGGCCTGTTTGTCAGGTTTCTATTGTCTCATCATATACAGTATAGCAGTGTGTAAGTGTCGCTGTAAGTGTAAGAATTTTCAAGATAAGTGGAAAAGAAAAAAAATCTTAATTTTTATTTATTTATTTTTTCATATTGCTTTACTCATCACTTCACAGACTCTGTTACGTCATACACATAACAAAGGCAAATCCAAGCTTCTTTTGGGCGCTCCCTTGCTAACAAACAGCATGCCACAGTGGATGGCTTCCCATATTTGATTTCTGATTTTTATGCTGGTTATCCTTCCTGACCTAATCTCCGAGGGTTTTTTGTCTCCTGCTCGTCTTGAACCAGGGATCTTTTGCATGTCAGACAAATGCATAAATCACAAATCTATGGGCATAGTACAGCCAGGTGTATTATTCTAAGTTTCTTATATTATTTATATAATATTTCTAACCTTGCAAATATCCAGGTTTGCAGTGGTAAAGTTTGCAAGACAAAAATGGTACATATATCCAGAAAATAAGAGGAATTCTTTGAGATTTAAGACACAAATTTATAAGAAACAGATGTTTAAAAGAAAAAAAAGTTGCTTTTATTTTTGCCGAGTTTCCACATCATTTCAAAGTGGGACGTTGGAGGTTTTGTAGGCCTTATTTGGCGAGTCACGAATACACAACAGTGGTAGTACAGACTGCACTTTCTACAGTTTTACTGCTGCTGCCATGTTGGATTCCAAAGTTGGAGTTGGTGTGACTTCGCTGACTTTCCGAGTGGGAAGTCCAACTGGAGGGGGTGTTTGAGCTGAAAATCCAGTGGAATTCTGACTTTCCACTTCAAATGGCATGCAGCATCATTCCTAATATAAGATATACTATTCAAATATAGTCTTTTTTTGCAGTTGGGGTTAGCAATAAGTGTTTATTTTATAATAACCCTTACATTTCTTATCATCATAAGAAATGTAAAGCATTTTTAAAAACCTCTGTGAAAGGGGAATATCACCTGTCCAAAGCGTCAGTATGGTGAGCGCAAATTATATTATTATTTTAAGAAAGATTTAATTGGATCAAAGATCAAGTTGAAACGTATCTGACTGCTGTTCCCAATTTTATAAACTTTAGGAAATATAAGGTTTGCTTTATTTTTTTCCCTAAGGGCATGCTGGGTAATCTGGCCAGGTAGTATGGCAGTGTGGAGGAGGCTCTGTGGCTACAGGACATTCAACAAGATGCCAGAAAAAAGAGAGGGATTAAAAAGAGAGACTTAGATACTTGTTAACTCTGAGAGAGTTAAATATTTGTGTGGTTTCTTTTATTTACGTGGTATTTATTGTATGACAACATGCAATTGTAAAAAGTGAAGCATGGCTAATCTTTTGAAAATACTGCATTATTGCTCAAAAATATTCCCAAACTTTTTCAATAATATCATAAATTTCACGCATTTTTTCTTGAGATTTTATTTTTTTACCTAAACCTCTGTAAATTTCAGGATTTTTCCTCATTAATTTACCAAATTAAGAGAAATCACAATTAATTGTTGAGTAAGTACCTGATTTTAAATATGTCGAGTCTTGCACATAATTTTGCAAATATTTATTTATAATACACCTCTTTTATT